AGGGGGGGTTGGGATTGGGGGGGGGAGGGGGGGTTGCTGCTGCCTATCATCTTGCTGTGTGGGTGTGTTTTCTGCTGGTGCTGCTGTTATCGCGGGGTTGCGTGTGGCAATTGTTGTGCCGTTTGTTCGCTCCCAAGAAGTCCCATGCGATCATATATCACCTATGTCGTTTCAACAGACATAAGACAAAGTTAACAAACTCCCTGTCGAAAAGAAAGTGAGAAAGTGTGCACCACTCATTGCTGGGTGGGTGTGTTACAACCTGTGTTTGCTGTTCCTGCTGCTGTTTGTGTTGTGTGGCAATTTATCTGCCTTTTATTCCCTCCGCAAAGTCCTTTCACACACACACACACACACACACACACACACACACACACGCACACACAACACACACAACATACAGCACAAACACACAACACACACACACACACACACACACACACACACACACACACAACACATACAGCACAAACACACAACACACAACACACACACACACACACACACACACACACACACACACACACACACACTCTTCCCCCTATTTGCCATGTGTAGTTTTGACGGACAGAAGACATAATTAACAGACTCTCTGTTTAAAAGAAAGTGAGAAAGTGTGCACTACTCATCGGTGGAGGATCAGGAGGGAGGGGATTTGCTCACCATGGGATGCTTCTGAGCTGTCTTCAGTAACGACAGAGGCAGCTGCAATGCAAAGAACACGACAGACAGGAATGAGACATTCTAGACAGCAGACTGCATCACTGGCACAAAAACACAGAGATGTGAGGGAAGAGAGACAGGGATCTTCTTTCTTCTTCCTTTCTGGCAATAACCCATCTCTGTTCTTCTATCTCTCCGAGCTTCTTCCTTCTACATCTCTGATTGCTCATCATCTTCTTCCACAAACCCCCAGATTTTCTTATTGCCCATCAAGTCACCTTCTTGTCCCTCTCTTCTCCTCCACGCTTCCAACGCCCTCAATAATCCATCGTCCCCTGCTCCCTCCCTTCGCCTCC